CCCACCTCCACACACTGCAAACACCCCCCACCTACTGCATCCATATCCCTGAACACACTGCACACACCCCTGCACACTGCCACACAATGCACACCTGCATGTCCCCCCTACACAAACTGCGCACACATCATCCACCTTTGCTGCATACCACACCTATACACACAGACATACTGTATACCCACACCTACTGCATTATCCACACTGCACACACTCGCCTACACAAATACACTGCGCACACACTGTACATTCACCCACCCACCCACAGCATTCATATACTGCACGGTGCATTCATGTACAGCCAGGGGCTTGGATGCCATGGGGACGAGTGTGGGCTGGGTGGCTGCATCGATACCTCACTCACACTGCACACACCTGGTTCTCCTGTTACACTTTGCCATGGTGATGAATGCGGGATAGATAACTATCCCTCCCCGCGTCCCCCCAGTCTTTCAGGCTGTTTATACCGGGTACCCTACCCCACTCTCGCCGCCTTATGGCCCTGTCCTAAACCCTGGGGCACCTAATTTCTCTTCTACGGCTCCCCATCCCTTGAGGTGCCCCTGGATCCCTCATCGGAAGCTCTTCGCCCGAGAGAGGTCCCCCCTGGGGGTTGCTGCTAGACACCCCGGACTGCTAGACTCGCCCTCAGCAGTTCCCGCTGCCCATCGGGCTCCCAGCCGGAGGCGTGGGGGGTGCGGGCTATTGCTGCGGCGGGGAGGGCTGATGTTGTGCTTTGCCACTGCAGGAAAGGAGACCTGCCGGATGGCAGCGGACCGGGCTGCAGGACTGGGCCTCAGGCCCGGCGGTGAAGCAGGAGGAGGAGCGGGCTCCCCCCGGCCCCGCGGCCCCGACCCCTCGCACCTGGAAGGAGGAGCCGCCGGGGCCCCCGGGAGCTGCAGCAAGAAAAGCAGCAAGCTACTGGCGGGGGCCAGCAAGAAGAAGACCCGCACCATCTTCTCCAAGAGCCAGGTCTTCCGGCTGGAGTCCGCCTTCGACAGGAAGCGCTACCTGAGCAGCGCCGAGCGAGCCGGCCTGGCCAGCGCCCTGCAGCTCTCCGAGACCCAGGTGAAGATCTGGTTCCAGAACCGCCGCAATAAGCTCAAGAGACAAATGTCTGCGGACCTGGAGGGCCCCGCTCCGGGCCAGGCAGAGCCGCCTGGGGAACTGCTACCCCAGGGGGCGGCAGCCGCGGCTTCACTCGCCTTCCCGACCCTGTACAAAGACAGCACTTTCCTCCGTCGTTGTTTACTGCCGCTGTCCTTCCCCCTGCTCTATCCGGGCAGCGCCGTCCCGTACCTGTGTTTCCCAAATCCGGGCAAATATTTCAGCCTTGTGGATGGGGACGTATAACCTCCCTCCCATCCTGCTGCGCCCCCCGCACCTTTCCGCACTCCACGTGTGCAGCCGAACCGCCGTGTTCCAGTTAGCGGCTGATGAAGTCGGCATCTTCCGCCAGTGTTCTCTATACGCACAGCATGTCAATAGGATCCCTTCACCCCGCTCTCTGGTGTGTCTTCCTGCCTTTGTTTCAGCCCGTAACTTATTAAAAGGACGCGACAAAAACAAAGTCCTATGCACACCAGGGATCCATTTAACTTGGAACCCTGCATGTTCCCAGTATCCGTCTTTCTCCCACACCGGGCACCTGCGAAGGGGGTGGATAACCCCCTTGCTCTAGCAACCCTTAATAAAAGAGAAACGCTGTCGTTTGATTAGTTCAAATGTTATCCAAACATATGCAAACACTCATACTACTCTACGAATAAAAATATAACTCCAAGCAGCTGTGGCTGATCACAAGCTGGCTTTCTCTTTCAGGTGAAAGGCGAATTTGTCTCTAAAATATTGTTAAAGGTTCAAAGGGTATTTTTACAAAGGTCTTGTTTACAATTCCCATTTTTCTTGTTAGTAGAGATCCAGTTGTTGAGAACCAAAGAAAATGGGACATTAATTCTGGAGACCATTCATTTGCTATATAGATCTATGTCTCAGTAGCAAATGCTATGTCCTGCATCACACTGAATCTCTCTCTCATGTGGTTGAGGCTGTGAGTACAATAAACCTCTACGCCTTTCCTAAAGCACTAGGCCTGGTTCCTGAGAATTCTACTACTGTAAATTCTCGAAAACTAGGTATTTCCTGACCCTATTAAGTTGTTGACATTTTGACTAAATTCTGGTTCTTGGGGCTTTAAACTGGCTCTTCCAGCGTCTCCAAGAAAAATCAAGCCCCCGGTCACATTTTTGTATTGAGCCCTCAGAAATGTGGGACATTTTTATCTGCTATACTAGAATAATGAAACAATATTTTTTATAGATTTCTAAACAATTGTCATATATTGGTTTCAAGCTTCGACTATATAAAAGGGTGGAAAATAAATCTTTTCTGTCAGAAACATAAAATGCATGCCTTTTCAATACAGTTAATGTTAAGCAGTGTAAAAATAGTATTTCTTAGCGCATGTCTGATGGATTTTTTTTTAAATAAAGGTTTGAGGAAATACGTTTGTGGTATTATTAAAATTCACTTCTTCCTCTGCACTAAATGCCATCAGTGATTCAGGACATTGTCCTTTATAAAGACTGTATGATTTGATAGTTGAACTTTTTATTAAATTATTGGGGAAATTAGACGGCAACTATTATTAGATCTATATTTTAGTTACAAACCTCAACCAGGCAAAGACCTTAAATATGTGCTCAATTATGGCAAATAGCACTGAAAGGAAAATGTTTAAAAACCCAGAAAGACAGTTTTCCAAACCTGTTGAAATGAACGTTCAAAGATAAGAAGGAAACAGGTGAAATTGACAAGTGCATCGTGATGCTGCGGCTGTTGACAAATGAAGTGCAGGAGAAAAACTTTTTTTTTTAATATTATTTTTAGCAAAGCGCCGTCTTTTCTTCCTTTTTCCTCTTCATTCCTCTCTGGTCAATTAGTAAATGCACTAGATAAGTGTCTGCGTAATTACGTGCCCCAGCCCGAGTGTGAAATGTAAGCCGTGGATTGTGATGAAAGAACCCGACGCAAGAAAGAAGGGAGGGTTAAGATTGTAATTAGAAGAAAGTCGCGTGTGGAACTTTTTTTTTTTTGTTTGTCAAACCAAGAAATTCTATTAAAAGAAATATCGTTTGGTTGAATACAGCGCCAAAGAAGTTGCTAAGTAAACACTTGATCAAATGAATGCTTGACCGCAGGATCACAGCTTTGCTTCGTGGCTATGGAGCTAAGCCATGTTTCTGGCTTAATAAAATGGGAACATTGTTTGACCCTTCAAACTGTATTGCCAATCTTGAATTCTCTCACAGACGCCAAGTCCTGGAAGGCCTCTATCTCAGATCATTATAATAGGAATAAACCACGATCCAAGCACTATACAACGACTACACTGTAAATAGTAATTTATATATTATTAAACATAACGCATACAAACCCGTTCTGTTGATTGTATCTTCCTTGTTTATTTACACTGCACCAAAAGTTCTCTCTCTCTACGTTCACAGTTCAATTGCGGGGCACAAAAATTATGGCTGGGGCTTCAAGGGACCACCCTCTTTTTTCATTCTCTGTCTGTATATTTGGTTGAATAAATTAAGGAATTTTTTTTGAACTGTCAAATCTCCCCATATCTGAAGAGATTTGGCGATGGGTGTTTAAAGAAGTGATGATGCCTTTATTTATAAGGATAATTTGATACTGTGCAACTATCTAGCTTATTTATTTACGTGACAGATGATCTATCCAGTGTGAGAAGCCCGTGCGGGGAATATCTCAGCTTTTCCATTTTTTATTTAATAGCTACGCAAAATACAGCATTTATTACCATGGAATTACTATGGTACGAAGCGGCAGCTTAATAGGACTCCACCATCCTTTCCAGAGGTCACAGCAATGGTATTTTCATCAGACGTAAAGGGTATAAATGGAAGTAAAATTGAGTTTAATAACTTCACCCATTCATACTATTGATACAACAAATGTCTCTGAAACAGATAAAGGCAATACATTAAACCATCCTTTCAGACAATGAAGACCCATTTATTCCAAGGTTATTATTAAACCAGTTATTATGCAAGGGTCGGATTCTACTCTCTATTACACTGGTGTGAATCTGGAATAACTACTGTTTTCAGTGGAGTTACTCTGGATTCACATCAGTAACTGAATAAAAATCTCACCCAATATTATTAAAGGAATATATTTTATATATAAAAAGGAGACTTAACACAGACCTTCAGTGTAATGTAGGTTCTATGTTAGGTCCAAAATTGTGCAGCTTTCTTATGAGTTTATTCCAAAGTTACTGAATTCCATAAAGAGCTAGTACTAGGATCAATAGTTGACTAAAACACCTAAGCAGTTGAAATAGTATTTTTCATAATTATTATTCAAGCTATAACTGCAGTTATTTGGATCAATGGAAAAATACTGTTACATATAATATGCTATTGAATATAATACACCCAGTCCTCCACTTGCAAGGTGTTTTTCTACATTAAATTATTTTAATTAAAAGATAACTAAGTATAGGATAGAACAAAAGGTGTGATTCACAAATAAACATCTAACTTTTTAAAATTTACGCTGAATGCAACTGAGCTTCCTTCTGATTTTAAATTAATTATATTTGTAAGTGAAAATGGTTAGTTACCCTATGTTAAGGAAGTGGCTATTCTTTTAAAATATAAGTAAAATCTGTAAGGAAGAAAAAGTTACCTTCATCACTGACATAAATGCTACCCTAATCAATAATCTGATCCACATTCAACAGAGAGAAGCTAGAATACTACCAGCATTTAAGAAACTCATCTCTCAAGCATTCCAATGCCTGATCCCACAGCAGGATTGGGTCCCAAGGAAGGAGTCTCTGTTATTTTTGTTGGTGATTTGAAAATCCAGGAAAAATTTCAGAGTTTTACTATTTTGGATAATTAGCTACTATTCTAGATGAGAGGAAATCCACCTCCTGCCCAATATTAAATAAATGAGGCTTGTCTATTGGGGGGACATCCAGGAAAGTTAATCCAAATTAACTAAAGGTGTGAGTTGGAAGTGGATTAGTTAAACTGCATTAAACCCCTGCATGAATACCTTCATTGAGAATTAAAGTGGCTTTAATTCAGTTTATCTTAAATCACTTCCAAAGTGAATTAAGTTAAACCAAATAAAGGCCATCTGAATAACAGCATCCATACAGTGATTTAAGGTGATTCAGTTAATCCACTTCATACCTTTAGTTAATTCAGATTAATTTTCCTGGATGTCCCCATGTAGACAAACCCTAAAAACAAACAACCTCCCCCCCAACATATCACAGTTGACTAGTGGCTGCAACTGGGATTTGAAAGTTTGCTGCCAAAGTTTATCACACACAAAGGAATGACCCCAGGGTCTTAGTTGATGTGTCAGTTTCAAATCTGTGGTTAGAAGAGATCATCTGCTTCCACAGAGAGGTACTACAAAGGCTACAGCAGCACAGCCACAGCACTACTATGGTAGCGTGGATCCTTGCTACAGCACAGAAAGGGTTTTTCCATCACTGTAGCAAATCCACCTGCTCCAGAGACAGTAGTTACGATGATGGAAGAATTCTCCCATCAGCTTGGCAGAGTCTACAGCGGGGGTGTAAGGCATTGGACTCACCCCTGCGGCGCCTCCTGGTGGTCGTCTCTGGGAATTAGCTAATTTTTCAGCCAGGAGCACCCTCTGCAGGCCGGTGATCCACCTTACCTCACGCTGGCCCTGTGTCCCTCCCAGGACCCCGGTGCCCCTTCACTGGGTTTCTGCCCCCCTTGCAAAACCCCTCAGTCTCAGGGTCTCCCACCCCAGGGGAACCCCCACCCACTAACCCCACCTCACTTCAGTGTACGGCTACTGCCAGTCACCATCTAGCCCCACTCCCTGGGGCAGACTGCAGTATATGCCACTCATCACAGGCAAGGTTGGGCTGGACCTGCTGCCTCTCTCTATAGCTGGGCTGCCCCTCTGCAGCCCCGGTACTGGTCTTAGGCCTTCAGCTAGGCCCACAGCCTGGGGGTTTTTCAGGTTGGAGCTCCCCAGCTCCTCTAGCCTTCCCCCAGCCCTGCTCAGCTCCCTTGCAGCCAGGCCCTTCTCTCTCTACAGCTGAGAGAGACTATCTTCTTGAGCTCCAGGCTCAAGCCTTTATAGGGCCAGCTGGGCCCTGATTGGGGCGTGGCCCCTGCTGAGCCTGCTTCCCACTCAGCCTGGGCTGTTCTCCCAGCCCTCCAGCCCTCTCCCCAGGCTGGTTTTAGCCCTGTCAGGGCTGGAGTGGGTAGCCACCCTGCTACAGGGGGTTACATCTACCTTATGGCATGGGGTGTGACTTTTTCACAGCCCTGAGCCACGTAGCTAGGTCAACCTACGTTTTAGGTGCAGACCAGGCCCAAGGGAATTCTTTATAATATACTTCCCCGTAACAAAAACAACATGTACATTTTGTACTATGACTTATTATTTGTATTAGGATAGTACCTGAAGACCCTAAATGAGACTGGACTTCATTGTACTAGGTGCCTTAAATACACATAATAAGCAAAAGTTCCTGCCCAGAAAATCTTACAATCTATAGACAAGTTTTATGTTGTGTTGCTGTAGCCATGTCAGTCCTAGGATATTAGAG